TAGGAAGAGGGAAAGAGAGATAGAAAAGAAAAGAAAGAGAAAGAGATCGAAAGAGAGTAAGAGCGAAGCGGGCGCCGTTACGATAAAAGAAGTTTTTCGGGAGAGCGTTCAATGGTCGAAGCAGCTATGCGCCACGCCGTCGTAGGGCTGTTAGCTAGCTAGTTCTGACTACGGGAGGTCTCGGGCCGCAGTTACGACCTCGAGAGAACGAGCGGGTTCGCCTCGCGAAGATGACCATAATAGTCTTTTTGATCGACACGTCGGCCTCCATGAATCAGAGGGCATATTTGGGCGGGCGACCCACGCTTTTGGACGTAGCCAAGAGCGCCGTGGAGACTTTCGTGAAGGTACGCCAGTCACACAGCTTTCCCGGCTCTCCCGGTCATGGGTTAGGTCGAGTCGTCATCGGCCCGTGCCATCCTCGTCGCGGAGAGAGCAACGTGGATAACCGTTCCCTTACGTCGACTCCTTCGCTGCCAGCCTTTTTTTTTAACTCTCCGATCTTTCTTTTTCAGGTGAGACAGAGATCACCGGAAAGCCGAGGGGATCGTTATATGTTACTGACTTTCGAAGATCCGCCTCAGAATATTAAGGTATGTTTTCCTTCACATTTCACTTCATCTTTGCGTTCGCATCTTTCACACTTTTTGTCCTTTCCTCGCCTCTCTGTCCTTACGAAATTCTGTCCCTCTCTTTCTCTGCTTTCTGTCTCTCTTCCACAGATGCACACACACACGAACACGCGCGCGCACCGAGTACACACGTATACACTTTATACTGGATACAAATTTCGACGAGCTTTGCTTTTCGAATTGCCAATGTTATGTAGGGTATTTTATTTTCAATGGTAAATTATTATTGTTTCCATTGTAATGACTTCTTTACATTATCATAAGTACAGGATAAATATATCCACGCGTGGACATCATTCGCAGCAGGAGTAACTGAAATATTCTTTTGAACAGTGTGTATTTATATTATTGTATCCCATGACTGTTAATATAAGCTAGCATACAATTACAACTGATACAAAAATGAGAGATTAAAGAACTCGTTTAAAGATCCCACACATTGCGTTTTACAGCTGCAGGGTTCTAATGTCATGCGACAAAGTACACTAGTGGCTTTGGAGTATATGATCTTAAAGATCTGTAAATAAAACCAACAATCTTTCAATGAAAGAGAGAAAGTAACAAAGGTGTAATATTTAGCTATAGATTGTACGTTTCTTCAAATGTTTCTTCATCTTACTTGTGTAATCTAAGGAACATTTTGAGTATTAGAATAGGTATATTACTTTGGATAAAATATCTTAATCATTTATTAAAAACAATATCTCCAGAAATGCTATTTGAAATTTTATCCATCTTCGAGTAGCTGCCATATTATTAATATTTTATACATGAGCCAGTTGTGTTGCAATTTTTCCTCTTGGATATCTATTTCAGTTTTCTTTTTTGGATGCATTTATGATTTGTTGTCGTCCGCGACGAGTCGACGTATTCGTGTCAATTGCCATATTATTTGCCCCTTTGATTACTGAATAATTGATGTTCAACAAGGAAACAGTATATTGTATATTTCGTTACGGAAAAACAGCATTGTAGGTAATAATATACGGGTGGGGGTCTACCGATAAAAATCTTTCTCGACCGGATATAATCGCGCCAAATTTACGGAACCAATTTATGCGTGTTCGACGATGAGATATATTTTGTCATTGTTTTGAATTCATATCATATTATTATTTACATTTTTTCAAAGCACTTTGCACAACACCTCTAATTATTTTTTCTTCTTCCAGGATTATGTATTGATGATCAGACTCATGGCTCAAGGAGGTGTCATGGTTGAATATTGTTATAAGGATTAAGGTACTGTCGCCTGTCTAATAATGGTAGAAAAGAGGAAATCTCGGATGTCTGTGTGACACAAGACCCTGAGACAATAAAGAATTACTATGGGAGATTGACAAACATCGATATTTGCGGCAGATAATCAATCAAAGAAGTTATCCATGCAGTAGATAACAGCAGCTGTAAACTTTTCATGGCTGTTCTTTATTGTCTTAATGTCTAATGTTGCATAGAAGTTCTTCTTGCTCTTCCATTATTGTACAACTTTAGTGACAGAACATGGAACCTCATAACAAACTACAGTTTAAACTCTTTCTTGATCCATTAGTCTTGTCTTCATTGTTCATTTTGTTGACATAAAATTCGAATTTATAAGAATCAAGTCATGTAAAAAGTTTGTATCATTTAAATGCATTAAAATTGAGGAAATGGAATTTCCTGTTAACTGCATGAAACCTTCTTAAACAACAAAATATTCGTTAAGCTTTTATTGCTATTGTAATTGAATAACCGACTAAAGATATATTCTCCTCATTTTAGGCTGGTTGGAAAGAAAATTTAGCAACGTTTATGAACGAGCTTAAAAATTTACAATGCGTTGGATTGACAACATTGGGGGCTGCTTTAAAACATGCATTAGATGTCCTGAACATAAATCGTATGCAGACTGGTATAGACACATATGGTCAAGGAAGATGTCCCTTCTATTTGGAACCATCAGTAATTGTTGTTATTACAGATGGAGGAAAGTATACCACCAACAGTGGAGTAAATCAAGATGTAAGTATACGAAATATTTGAAAAGTAGTATTAGAACATGAATTTATTAAAGTTCATTAAGGAAGATTTGATAATTACCAAATTTGTTGTCAACAGTTCACATTACCTATGCATTCTCCAATACCTGGATCTGAGCTAACAAAGGAACCATTCAGATGGGATCAAAGATTATTTTCTTTGGTATTGCGGCTCTCCGGGACACCAGCTGTTGAAAGAGATACTGGTTTAGTTGCAAGCGACTCATCTCCTATAGATGCTATGTGTGAAGTTACTGGAGGTTCGTAGGATACTTTTGTAACACGACTTAATATCTCTTCACGATGGGCGATTAAATAACCGAATGTTTCGTATAGGTCGTTCATATTGTATAACATCATTTAGAATGATGATGCAATGCATAGACTCGTTGGTACAAAAAGTTCAGTCTGGAGTAGTAATCAATTTTGAGAAAATTGGGCCAGATCCACCACCTTTGACAAATGAAGCACATGGGGAAGACGATGAAAACGAAGATGAGAATAACGCAACAAATGGAAATCGATCTCAATATCCGCTTAATCCAGCGGCACCAGGAAACACAGCATGGCATTCTTGTAGAAGACTGATCTATGTTCCGCGTTCTGCACAGAAAGGTTTTGCAGTAGGATTTTGGCCGATTCCCGAAAGCTTTTGGCCCGATCTAAGCGCTAGTTCTCTGCCTCCTAGATCAGCGCATCCAAACGTGAAATTCACGTGTACTAGCCAAGAGCCTATGGTGATAGAAAATCTCCCATTCGATAAATATGAATTAGAACCGAGTCCATTAACGCAATACATTTTAGCTAGAAAACAGCCAACGATTTGTTGGCAAGTTTTTGTAGCCAATTCGTATAAATCTAGCGACGTCGGTCATCCATTTGGATATTTAAAAGCAAGCACTAACTTAACCTGTGTGAATCTGTTTGTAATGCCCTATAATTATCCAGTTCTCCTGCCTTTATTAGAAGAGCTGTTTAAAGTTCATAGATTGAAACCGACAAATGAATGGAGAACGCAGTTTCAGAATTACATGAGAACAATGCCTACGTATTATGCAGCGGTACGTGGTTAATTGATCTTAGAATAATATATATTTGTCTTCTGGTTTACTGTACTAATACTGTGTATCCTTGAATTACAGTCTCTGAGGAGAGCTCTAACTAGAATGGGTGCACCAACACCATTAGCACAAACGTTAATTCCCGATAATATGGATAACTCTTTGTCCTATAGTGTCTTAAATTACTTAAAGCGACTGAAAAATCAAGCTAAAATCGAATTCGATAGACTTTGCAATGAAGTTCTTTCCAAGCAACTCGCCGCTGCCAATATGACGAAAAATTTAGCAAACGGTAGTACAACAACGATAACAGATGGAGTGAGAGTTATTCCCAGAACTCCATTGAAGAAAGATTTGGTAAACGTCTAAGAAATTCTCTGTATCTTATCTTTCATGGACAAGAATGATAAACACGTTAACACTGTATTTTTTATCGCAACAGGTGTCGCATCCATTATTACAGGATAAATTCACAGGACTGAGGGATCAATTAAACGAGTTTGGAGGGTTTGTAGTTGGATTAGTTAGAAATCAACAGCGAGGTGCGCACAGTTATAGGAATGCATTTGACGTTCCTCGGAAATCTCTACTGGATCAAGTCGTGAGAATGCGTGCCAACTTTCTGCAGCCCGGACTTTTACATACAAAACTGCTCGATGACGATTATGTTCACTCGATGCCTCTAGCACAAATGGGAAATTATCAGGAATATTTGAAACGCATGACTCCGCCTTTAAGAGAGATCGAAAGTGTCCCAGTTAGGCAACACATGTTTGGTAATTATCCAACGTATCTGATCGTCCTGAAAATAATCGTTAATTTAGATATGCATGTTAATAATGAATTGCTCTGTCGTGGAATTCCAGGTAACCCTTTCAAGATAGATAAGAGGATGATGGTAGACGAAGCAGATATCGATATGGTTGGAGCAACATCTTCGGCATCGAAGGGCGGTCTTAAACGTACGCTGCCGGCCTCAGATGGAGGAGGATCGCTAGCTTCGAAACCGCCCCCGAATAAACGGAAGCCAGGCCCGATTCCTAAGGATGTCGTAGTACGAAGACCGTCGTATACACCAACTAATACTCCGCCGAGTTCGCCGATACCTTGGGTAGATGACACGAAAAATCAAGTGACTCCAGCTGCCGATTCAAATCAAATTCCATTGAGCACAGCGAACGCCAGTACGCCGAGTATATCGAACGCATCAACGATAAATTCATCAGAGAAATTGGTAAACGGGCTCGCAGAGATGCCCACGATACCGGTGTTCGAACCGATTCCAGTGGAACACACCAACAACCATATGGATGCTCCGCCGACTCTGGTACCGGTGGTGAACAACGTCGACGCACCTAAGAACGAAACGAAGCCAGAGAAGATGGAGAACGCGAAGAACGAGTATAACAAACTACCTCTGAACGATTACGTTGAAAATAGTGTGAAGCTTGAGAACTCGGTTGACGAAAGGTTGACCAATCATGTCGAGGAGAAACGCGAGCCGAAGGTGGAGAAAGAGAAGGTTCTGACGAAGAAAGAATTGGAAGACATTAGGAAACATAATTTGTCCGTGCGGGAGCTCGTATACAAAGAAGTACGGAGAAGAGGTACAAGTAAGTTGATATGGCGATTTTTTGTTACTTTCTGATGTACTCTAGTATTCTTGGGGGTTAAAAACGTAAGGCTCGATGGATTTTGTACGGTGACGATGACGCTTGTCGAAATGGTAAAGTCAATACGACGAATGAAAATAGAATTCCTCGGAAGTCTCATATTTTTCAGCTCCCAACCGTAGCGAATGTATAGAGTATTATAATTTTGTAGAAAGTGTATGAGCAAAGAAATCGACGAAAGGAAGAATTGATTTTTAGTAATGCTTCGTGATCTTGTTTCAGATTATGCGACACTATTTTCACACTTACACCAAATTCAAGGGACTTTAGATATACGACTTGCGTTTTTGCGAGATATCGTCAAAGAATCGTTACGATTTAAAAGACGTAATTTGGCATCGCTGATAGAAGAATATTTGAAAACTGTACAAGAGGATAGCTGGACCGTAAACCACAAGGTGAATCACAATGGTGCCACAAAAATAAGTTAAGAGTCAGTTGCATAATCTGGGCATTATTTGAGTAATAAAAAAAAAGTGAAAACTAACGAGTCAAGTGAATAAAACGGGGACGAATCTCTAACGGGATATAAAGTAGCCCATCAAGCAAGTCGTACATCTGTAAAACGATAAGCGTGTTTAGCGTTTAAGGACGTATGTTGCCAAGGCGCGCGGAGTGATAATAATTGATAAATCTAATGAAACAAAATAGCATTCTGGATGTCAACCAAGGAGATATGGTCCTCATGCTCCTTTTTCTTTCGTTCTTGTTCTCTTCTCTTTGTGACTGTACAGTTGGTAGAAGTATGTTTTTCAATCGATTATATTTGTTATGACAATAAAGTCTTGTCATTATTGATTTAAGAAGTTCGTAAAGGAATATTCGATTCTTGTATCTTTACAACAACGTATGGGGGAATTGCTTCGATTCGTTTATTAAATATTCGAAATTTTATATATTTTGAGCTTTCTCATTTAATTGTCGAATGTTTTAATCAGTTTAGTTCATTCTAACGATATTGTTACTGTACACTGGTGCCGTGCGACAGTTTTTAAATAAGTGTAATTAATTCTAATAACGAACAGAGACAGTGCGCGCCGTTCTGTATAAAGTACTATCCGACTGTTTTTCGTTGAGGATGTAACTCGTAGAAACTCTCCGAGTCTCGGATGCAGGCATTCGCGGACCCTCTTTGATTTCAAAGATATTTGTTGTGAAATAATTAACGTTTATAGTCTAACTTCCAAGTTCGTCTACTTTTTAAGAAAATTTAGATAAATATAGTGCCCTGAAAAAGTACAATATTACGCGAACAGCACAATTCTACCAGCTGCACAATCGAGTATCTTGATGCATTCAAATCCGAACAATGTCGATAATGTATTTTATTTGATCACGCTTCGTTCATTCTTTTTCTTTTGTGAAGGTTTTATCGTACACACTATTGTGATCTAGGATATAAATCAAGAAATAAGTTTATTAGCACTTAATACGCCCTGTATATTTTGTTATATATATATATATAATATATATATATATGTTGTGAATAGTATAAAGCCAAATTGAAGTCTTAATTTCTATGAACAAACAAGAAGACGCTTCAGTGTGAGTCTTTAGAAATTGAATACATATCTTTTGTTCTAAAGAAAGATTGTAAAAATTTACATTTTGTAAGTAGGAAGAACATACTATATTTTATCATGTAATTCGCTAAATTAAAATACCCTGGAAAATAGAACTGGTTTTGTCGTAATGAATCTTCTTTTACGGAATTCAATGCACATAATTACACGTTGGCTTTTAAGGTACGGGAACTATCATAACAAACGAAAGATAATTTTTATATTCAGCGTTACCTTATAGAATTGAACTTATTGAAGAATCTTCAATGAAGGGTTGACAGTGCCTAATGCTATTGAAAATTAGTACGAAAAGAGATTATATTTATTTTTAACCCGCTTCAATGACACTTTTAAATTAAACATATTTTCGAGTTATTTCATTGAAAAAGTTCATCAGAACGATGTATATCATCGAGGTATGGAATGAAAAAAGAATACGTTGTAATTTCTAATGAAAGTAATTATGAAAACGATATGTGTACAAGTTACATGTAGGAGAATAAATTGCATTGTTTTACATGAACAGATTTGCAAATGTTTCATTGAAAATTTTGTAATACATACTTTACATTGCAATTGTATTTTTATGCTGTGCACGATTCTTGAGAATATTTTTTCTTTCATATTGAATGGAAGTGGGTTGAAAAAAGTATACAGTAATAGCAATGATTTATATAAATAAATAACAATGTCAAAGTCACTTGTTACTATCTATAAGGAGTGATAGTGATTTGACCAAATATTAAGTAGACTGTCCTAAATTCATTGATCAGGAAGATTATCTTACACGTTCGTCAGTTAAGTAGACTCGCGTGCATACTGGTGCATCATTATATACGCATTTTCGAAAGTAATTTCACTCTGTCTTCATTCATTTTAATGTCATTTATGTACGAATAGAGAAAGCTTGAGAGCGATCCATCAATAAATTGCAACATATCATCTCTACCATTAAATTACAAACTTATCAGATTTAAATATAAATGGGTCGTATATAGAGACTTTATAGCGTCAGTTTTTCATGGAACTGATTTCTAAGCGTTGCCTCGATTTCCTGTTGATGCATTTTTATATCAAAACTCGTGATTATCGGCCCTTTTATATTTAAACAAGGTTCAAGTAAGATAATCAACCTGAATTTTTTCACATGGACACTAAATATATCTATATTCTGCTCTTTGTAAATCTAGTAGCGAAATTGTATATCAAATAGTATTTATTAAATTGAAATCGTTAAACTTTTAATAAATTATTTTATAATAAAGGAGCTTAGCTGAGTCTCAGAGACAATGATGCTAGACGCTTATTGGCTCCAAAGAGAAATTAATAAGAAAGTTGAATGAACATAACACAAAGTGCGATTCTACGATGAATTAATAGATAGTAAGGAAGAAAAATATGATGAAGTAAATAACACGATCATCAGACTTTTGTTACACTAACTGTAATTTAATTAATTATTGTATCACTGTTTACGCAAATAAGTCAAGTGAAGATAGTTGCCAAAAAAGTGTGAGGAGGATAGGGAATTACCTTGTAATACTTTTGTTCAACAGTAATGTATTGTGTAAATGTGGAAAAAATAATTATCAGTTTTTTCATAGAATAATCTGACAAATTTCATACTTTTTCACGTTGAGAAAAATTTGTCCTACAAGTTTTAATACGATACAATTACAATTAATGCGTTTACAATTTTTCTGCACCCTAAACTCCACTAAATTACAAATACAATTCTTTTTTAGCAAGTATCTCCATCTTGTTTCCGAATTCAATTCCAAATTGTTATTTATTATACCTGTGTTGCGTACATCTTTATCGTATTGTTCAAAATACATTTGATTAGTTATTCTTTTATCGTACCTATATTAATATTATGTGCGTCATTGTACATGCACCATTGTAAATAGATGCGTATTGATGGTTACTACTAAGGAAATTCATATTGAAATGATTGTTCCATTTTTACGTTTATATTTTAAAACAAAATAGCGGATAAGCTTTGAAAAAAAATAAATGAAAAGACATTTGACACGTAATTTTACAGTCGTTATCTCCTTGCATTATTATCATTCTCCCAATAAACATTGACAGAAAATATTTAACAACATAATACGTAGAACTAATCAAAGTAAACGAATAATAGTAAAAGATGTATGCACCGTGAACATATAATCCCAGTACTTATTGAAATTGATTCAAATATATTTATTTCCGTAATAATCATATTGGAATTAAATGAGTTGACTACATTTCTAGTTTAATATATTTGAGACTTAATGTGTAATTTATTTGGTACAGATTCGAAGCAGTATTTTTGGGTTATGTTCTTTTACATTACCCGTGGTCTCAATTCTAACTTAATTTTGATTCAATCTCGATATGATTACAGAGTATTAATACAACTGACGTTTAATGAAGAAAGAGGTAAAATTGTTGTCAGCCTATACAACATAAACGACAACCAATGATTCCCAGATAAAATTAATGTCAATCAAGTTTTAAGCCTTATATTCATAGTTAAAACAACCTATACAATTGTATGTAACAAAAACCAAGTGCTTGTACTAGCTACTATTATTAATACTTAAGAAAAAAATCTGTGATACAAACATGTATTTATGTACTTATATTGGTTAAATTTCAATACAATGCGACAATAATGATAATAATATAAAATACATCATAGATACCGATTAAATATTAATCATATGTGATACAATGTATCGTAGACGTCTATGTTAAAAAACTTATACCCCTTGAGAAGATTACTATTTTCATATCAAGGATTTAATTGAAATATTTTGTTCCATTTCCTTTATTGCAAAGTGGACTTACGTATGAAGTAGACTTTATTTGTAAATATTAACGTAAAGACATTTCATTTAATATTGATAATTTGTTATTAATCATCAAGAGTAAATAAGAATATATAAAAAAATATATCTAAACATGACATTTACAAATATTTCCGTTACCTCGAATTTGAATTTGAAGGACACAGTCATCGAAGGTAACAATTATTTTCAACCCTGTTTTCTGTAAACGATCTTCGAAAGATTTGATCTACTTTAAAAGAATAATTCAACGAAAATTACGTTCATGTACATATAGTACATATATATTAATATATATATATATATATACATATATATTATATTAATATATTATAATATTAATATATACATATATATATATATGTATGTATATATATATATATATATATATATTTATATATATATATATATATTAATTAATATATTTTATAAATTAATTTTTAAAATAAGCCAAGTATAAAAGAAATTTTAATGTCGATCAATTCTTGATTTGAAGAATCGAGAGTATCGATAAGTGGAATCGATACTATGGACTTTTAAAAAAATCGGAAAGTATAAGATGTCTTTGGGAGGGATGAGAGACGGTGGCTGAGAGACTCACATCAAAATGGCCGCATTTTAGTCTACAGACGATTTTTCTTTACTGTTTGCCAATAGCCGTGTAAAGGGCCTGGCAGTGTTCTCCAAAGTGGCAGATCTGTTTCGCTGGAAATTTCACTCTTGAATAACTTGAAAATTTTCGTGAAATAGAGCAAACTTCGGTAAGAAAATTCAACCGCATAGTTCCACTGCCAAATAGCCGGGCCAAGCCCATTGTCTATTGACTGGTTCGTTCAAAGAAAAGAAATGCATTTTACATAGCTTACGTCGTTGTATTTCTTGACTATTGATGAATTTGTTGAGTTGTTTTCGTAATGCACAGAGTACGGCATGTATTCATAAATACTGTCAAACAAATTCGGAGTTTAGTTACTAATTTTAGAGTTGTGAAATCATTTTGCTGTAACATATTAATTTACATTAAGCAACTTGATTTATTTCATAACGAGAGTTCTGATTCGATAAAATTACCATTATTAATCTTTGATTGTTGTATTTAAAACGTAATGTTTAACCTTCATGTGCAAATACTTTTTTAAAACGATTTAATGTGACTATGTAAGATGCATTATTTTTAATATTAACCACATTTCAAACACAGTTTTTCATTTTAATATAGTGTTTTATTTCAAGTTCCGCATAACTTTTTATACGATGATACGTCACCAACATCATACAATGCAAAACCAACTTAGAGATCATAATAGGTTTGTAATGAGCTTATTTTAACTTTTTTAATTATTTCTGTACACAAGTATCTATATCTATGTAATTATAAGTACTGTTATATAATATATCTATATACATTTTTATTTCAGTCATTATAACACAAGTAATTCAAGATGACAAATGATTAATGAATGCTTTATATTTGAAATTTGTATAAATATCCTGTTTGAAATGCAAATAATATATTACAACTTTTTATTAGAATGGGAGGTCCGATGCGTCCTATGCAGCAGGCTAATATGGCCCCTTTACATCAGCCTCAGCATCCGTTACCGCATCGGAATCCACATCAACAAATACTGTCCATGCCCCCCCATCAACAACACATTCATCACATGCAACATCCTGGACCACCACATGGAAATCCACGACAACCAATGTTGATGAGCATGAATGCACACAATACGAACGGTGTGATACATATATGATACTTAATACTTAATACTTAATAATGTTATAGATTAACGAACAATATTGGTTATAATATCCCTATATCATTTTCCAGGCACCATGGTTAGCGTCAGTTTAAAAGACCAAGCAAACACTGTCTCTGTGACTCTACAAAATCCAAATGTGCAACCACCACAATATTCACAGCAACCAAATAATCAACAGACTCCACCTTCTCAGCAACACGTGCAACAATCACAGTCTATAGAACAAAACAAACAATCAACAAATGAAAGCAACAATGGAGAGTCCAGAGATCAGAGTCCACCTACCCAAAATCATGTTAATGTGACTGATCCAGCTTTGGCAAACATGAAAGAAAAGACACCGATGTGCTTATTGAATGAGTTAGCACGTTTTAATAAGATTCAGCACCAATATAGGTTGACTAATGAACAAGGACCAGCGCACAAAAAACGATTTACGGTAACACTGAAACTTGGGCAAGAAGAATACATTGCTGAAGGTCCTAGTATAAAGAAAGCTCAGCATAGTGCTGCAACCGAAGCGTTAACCAAAACTTGGTATCAACGGCCTCCACCGAAACCTACAAAGGCGATGAGAGTAGCACATCCAGAAAAATGGTCCAGTGGTTCTGGTAGTTGCATAACATGTTCCTACAATTATAAAGCCAGATGTAAATCAGTGCTGTAGAAAATCTTAACTATGGACAGCACTGATGCAAACGATTTAAACTCCTATAAAATGGTTCTTTTTCCAGGGAATTTACCTCCAACCGTTGAATTAAATGCTTTGGCCATGAAGAGAGGACAACCTACTGTTTATACTATTAGGCAAGCTCCACCGGCAGGATTACAGCAATACGTTACGCACGGTCTAGGACATTTCCCTCGAATATTTAGTCCACGCTTTCCCACGTACAACCGTGATTTTCACGCAGAACCTCAGTTGTATTTTGTATCTTTGAAGGTAATGAAATATTCGACTACAATTGTGATTCGCTTACATGCGATTCTGATACTCATCGAGTATGAAAACTTTCCAGGTAGGAGAATGTGAATTCATCGGGAAAGGTGTGACAGGTCAAGCAGCACGGCACGATGCAGCGAGTAAAGCTTTGGAACAATTGCGCCAATTACCATTGCCAGAAGTAGCAAATACTTGTAATACAGGGGAGAATGGCACATTGGGCGATGCCAAAGATCCGATTGCCGAATTAAAAAGTCCTGTGTCATTAGTGCACGAAAGAGCATTAAAACGTGGTTTACTCGTTAGTTTCGAAGTCGTATCTGAAATCGGTAAGCCTCATATTCGAACATTTAGGACAAAGTGTACTGCCGGCGACAAAGTTACCTTCGGAGAAGGACCGTCGAAGAAAGTAAGTCTCGCGTGTAAGATGCTCGAACTTAAGGGATCGGCTTTTATACATTGAACTTGGTTGGAAAGTTATTTATCGATAATATATGTTAGGTGTCAAAAAGACATGCAGCGGAATTCATGTTGGAAGAACTCAATCGTCTGCCTCCGTTGCCCGAGACTATACAAAATCGTCCGATGCGAGTGAAACGTAAACCGCCAGCAACGAAAAAGAAATCACGAAATTTAATAAAAGTGTATCAGGACCGCTCCGAGTCTGAAGCTGCGGAAAAAGTAAATCCAGTCTCGCGGTTGGTTCAGATACAGCAGGCTAAACGAGAGAAGGAGCCCGTTTATAATTTAATCGAGGAAAAGGGTGGACCAAGACGAAGGGAATTCGTCATGGAGGTTACTATGGGTCAGCATTCAGCTCAGGGAATCGGTCCTAATAAGAAGCTGGCCAAGAGAGCCGCAGCAGAAGCTCTTTTGGCTCAATTAGGTTACAGTAAGCCACTGCCCACAAAGCCATCAATAAAAACAGGAGAGAGTGAGAACACTGAATCGAAACCTCGGAAAGTTACCTTCTTGGAAGACGAGCAGATCAATGAAACTCCATCTCACCCAGTTGGAGGTGAGATATCAAAAATTCTATAAAAATATCGTGATACGTTAATTTGTAATACACATGGTATATGTCGGACATGGTCAAGCAGGTGCTTTGCGAGCGAGAGTTACCTTCGAGGCTCGCGAACAGGCAAAACCATAAAATAATGGGAGCGATAACGTTACGAAGAGGAAAGTGGGGGAGGGCGTAATGACAAACGGGGTTTAGCTTGATTTAATTGCACCACAAGAGGGTTCTCGAGGAACGTGGCCTGTTAATTCCTTAATCGTTCTCGGCTCTACTCGTGAAAACCGGCTCGGGCATGCCTGGCGTACATGTTATTTGTTGTGCGTGAATGGTTTGAAAAAATGTTGTTAATGTAATCAGGAACAATCGGACGTCAGTTAGTACCCGGACTTTTATTAGTGGATGGAGGTCAAGAATCTAAATTAGGTAGCGGACCTAGTGTACAAATCGTTGCTGAAGAACTGCGAGGACAACAGCAACAAAACCCAGCCACAGTTTCTCCTAAAGATCAATTGAAATATCTCTCTCAGCTATTTAATTTCAGCGTGGAATTCAATGATTTCCCTAAGGTAGTGATCAAAATTGAAGTTTCGTTATGACTTTGAACTAACAGATAACATGTAATCGTTACATAATATTGACATCTATAATAATATAATCTGGAATGAAGTAACGTATAGGTAGATTATAGGTCGGTTATCGTTACACACTTTATATGTATTTCAGGGTGCGGTAAATAAAGAATATCTGTCGTTGGTAACGCTAAGTACGGATCCACCACAAGTTTGTCACGGCAATGGCCCGACAAGGAACGCGAGTCGTAATCAAGCAGCTTTGAAAGCTTTACGCACTTTGAGCAAGCTGGGTCTTGATAATGCATCCAATTCGCAGACGAAAAAGGATAAAGGTGCGTCTGGAGATGGAATACATATTAGCATTCAAGTTAAAAACAATATAATGGATGGAACTATCGATAAGTAATTACATAGTATTAAGGCTTATCTAACGTAACTTTGATTTACATTGCCGTTTTAAGGCATTGCAAAGGAAAGCTAACTTAGAAACACTTTTACGAAGTCACGGATAAGAAGGGAAACATGTTCAAAAGTGATCTTAGAAAAGCGAGTGATTACTTTTTAGGTTTAATATTAATGTCGAGTGTTAATATTAAACCTTAATACTTTGAATTGTATCGTGGAATTTTTAAGATTAATTATTGATTTTCTTTTATTTATTATATATAAACGAACACACACACGCACACGCGCACACGTACACGTACACGTACACATGCATATTTTAGTGTTTTATAACAGTTATTATTATAATAATATATCAATAATTTCA